GGGTTTAACCCTAGGGTTTTCAGACCCCCCCCAGACCCCCCCAATAAAGCAAAACTGCACGTTTCAGAGTGGCCTTTTATTGTGGCCAGCCTAAGGCACACCTGTGCAATAATCATGCTGTCTAATCAGCATCTTGATATGCCACACCTGTGAGGTGGGATGGATTATCTCGGCAAAGGAGAAGTGCTCACCATCACAGATATTTTCAGATTTGTGAACAACATTTGAGAGAAATGGTTATTTTGTGTATGTAGAAAATGTTTTAGATCTTTGAGTTCATCTCATGAAAAATGGGAGGAAAAACAAAAGTGTTGCATTTATATTTTTGTTCAGTGTAGTTCACAGAGCAGAGTCCTTATGCTGATATAAAAGAGAGGGTGTTACAGTCAACAAGTATTCTGACATTAGTTAAGATTAGCTAAGGCCTGCGTAAGCAATAAACATGACAGTCATATGTCTATCCCTCTAGGGGCTGTGTCATCATGCCAGCCTTAGGAACATCATAACTTCAACACAGTGTCTCATGAGCATCATCCATGTAGTCAGACATCCGGCTACGTACACAGCTACGTAGGGCCTCTCTTATCATGTGCTACTCTGATATAGAAGGAACTTTCAGTATTTTCCCAATAAAAAGGAAACAAAAATACTCAGTACAATGAATATATGACAAGGGTTATCAAGCAATGTTTCTTTGAGCAGTTGGCACCTTGTATGGCAGCCCCGGCCTCTATGAATGGCTGTAAATTGGTAAATGCTGCGCTAAGAGGGTAAAGACATGCAGTCCAACTCCCACGTCTTTACACCATGATCTCCAAGAATGTTCTGTTCGGACTTTCTGACAGGCGGCCTATGCATTATCTACTTGCTTGATTAAAGCATCATTAAAAACAATAGCAACAGAGTGTGTGTACCCAATAGACATTAATCAGAGTCACCAGTCATATTCTGTGATGCTGCACTTCCGTATCTCAGTGATCTGTGTTTGAGGACATGACAGCCTCAGTCTTTTTGGCTCCATTTCCTCTCACATTTCACTTGAACAAACTTAACGGCATCTTTATCTGTTCTTCAATTTTCCGCTCTTAGTACAAATCCGGACTTATAACTGCAGCTCTAAAAATAAATGTGCAACTTCCTCAGGTTATTACCAATGTCCGTTCTGAAGAAAGACTGTCGTGCATTTTCAATTCCAAATAATTAAAGCCAAGTCTGTCTTTATAGATTTCAAAATGAAGAGAAATTATTCGTTTTTCACCACCTGAGTTCACCTTTTCGACACTCTCTTTTAAATACAGCCATTTGTTTGTTGTGCTTCCTTGTTAATAAGATGAGATAAGATAAGAAGTACTTTATTGATACCAATTTGGGAAATATTGGTGTTGCATCAGCATAAAAAGACATACATATTAAAAGACTAGAAATAAACAAGAAAGTAGAAAATATACGTGTTGAATTACAAATACAGTAACAAACTATAAATAAGTTATTATATATATATAGGCTAAGTATGTTAGGGATGGAATATTAAATAGTTCAATAAATAAATATTGACTTATTTATTAACAGGGAACCAAAAAAAACAATGTATTTGATATGGTGGCTTTTATTTGCGTATATAAATGTGACTTGTCTGAATCACAACATGATTTTCGAAATAAAAGCCTTGTTGACGAGACGACACTTTGCGACACCGTGTCAGTTTTACGGCAACATGGCGGCCTGCAGCCTGCAGCAGCGGAGGCTCTGACCGTCAGAGTCTGAAACTTCATCATGAACACCGGGACAGACCGCACGAGACCAACAGGTCGGTAACGGGGGGTTTTGAATATGATAACAATGTGTATCCGGGGGGTTTCCGCTCCGATGTGCCGAAACGTAGCTCATGTTCGCTGGCTTGTGTGTGCGCGGCGTGCGTATTCGTGTGGGCTCGAGCCTGCGTCATGGCGACACACACCTGTCACCGGCAGGCTGAAACCGTTGCCGGTGAGCTGCTTATGGCCCCTGGGGGTCTCTGACACTGGCATACTGCAGCAGGTGAACAACGCTTCACCGTGGCACGTGCAGGGGAAAAGGTTCGTGCACTGGGGAGGTCACGGGAGGTCGGTGGGCAGTTTCCGGTCTCTGCTGTCACCTGAAGCTCGCGGGCTCTGCAGCGGGAAGACCGAGGAGACACCGGGGCGAAAGGAGGAGGAGAACCGGGGGGAGGCCGGCCTGGTACCGGGAGATGGACTGTTCCAGTTTAAAGAGCTGGTGAGTGCAAGAGTCACCTGGAGGAATGTTAAGTGCAGAGATTAGGGTTGCCCAATAAAGAGAGTGTTATTGTTGCTTTTTAACAGTTCAAAGTGCTGGTGAGTACATTCCATGTGACCCCTATGGAATATCCTGGTTTTATGCATGAATTTGTCATTAGAAGTAATCTGATCTTCACTAAAGTCACAAGTAGCCTATAGACCAACACAATGTGCTTAAGCTTATGACAGACAAACATGTATACTCTTTCATGTCTTTATTGAACATTTGAAGCACTCGTGGAAAAAGTGAACCCTTGGATTTAATAACTGTTAAAACCTCCTTTTGCAGTAATAACTTTGGTAGCTCCAGATCAGACCTGCACAATGTTCAGTAGGAGTGTTGGACCGTTCTTCATCACAGAAGTCCTTCAGCTCAGCCATTTTCTCAGGATGTCTGGTGTGAACGACTCTCTTGAGTTCATTCCACAGCATCTCTATTGGATAAGGTCTGGGCTCTGACTGATCCACTTTGAAAAGGCAGATTTTCTTTGTACGTAACTAAGCCATATTTAGGGTGATTGTCCTTCTGCACCACCCAACCCCGGCTGAGCTTCAGCTTCAATGACATTATCCTGTAGGAAATCATTTTAAACTTTGGAACAATAAGACTGTTAAACAACTGAACTGCTGAAACAATTTCATAACATTCATCTGCTACTTAGTAATTATTCATCTATCTAATATATCATTCCGAATAACTTGTATATAGACTCGTATTGCACTATTCCACTTTTTTTTAAACTATTTTTCTTTTTGTATTACTTTTAATATAGTATATTTTAATATTGTCTGCTTGTCTGTATTATTGTGTTGCATTGTTGGAGTAGCCTTTGACCTAAGATTTTCAACGACATAATTACTCTGTAGCTATGTTAGTTTGACAATAAAGAACCTTGAATTCATTCTTCTTCTTCTGATGATGATGATGATGATGATGGTAAAACAGCAGAGCAGCCCCACGTCCTGATTGGACACTGTTCGGGGAACTAGTTGCTCTACTATATGCTCTGTATGTGAGGACTACTTTAATCCTTGCAATAAAATAAATGCATGTATCCTGATTTGAAACTCAAGCCGGTGACGACAGAGATTCTTTTAACACATACTTTGAAACAAATGTGACCATAAATGCAGGTTATTCCAAAGGATTCACGTGTACTTTTTTTGCCATTTATTCCTTTTTTATTGTATATTAGCTTGTTTCATTTTTATATTAATGTCTTAGCTTTTTCATGGTTGTTTTTTAAAGGACATTTTATAATGTAATTCCGCTGCAGAAAGGCTCTTAATGTTTTCCAAGCACTTTGAATTGCCTCGTGTTGAAAGCTGCTATATAAACAAACTTGCCTTAAGCACATGTTCAATCTGCTTTTCCCTGCAGTACGAGAACCCGTGGACGATCCCAAACTTCCTGTGTGTGTGTCGGATTATCCTCGCTCCCTTCCTGGGCTACCTGATCATCGAGCAGCACTTCCACCTGAGCCTCGCTCTGTTCACTCTGGCCGGAGCCACGGACCTGGTAACACTGACGCTTTCACTCAACAGCTTTCTTTCCGTTAACTGTCAAGTGGGAACTATGGGGTTTTTTTTTTTGTGTTTCTCTTATTTTCCTGCGGTTCTGTTATCATTGGCTGTGAATAAGAAAATATGAAGGACAGACCATCTATTTCTATTTATTTATTTTGAGAAAGGGACAGGTAATATCAGATTATTTTCTTCTCCCTGCTCCTTTGTGGGCATGGTGTGTTTATAGACATCTTTTTCAAACAATTATTATACATTAAGTTGTGCATACCATGAACGGAACAAATACAAATGAAATGAAACACATGTGGAGCAACTACAGATGTGTTATCTAACGTGTGGAGATACAGACCTCTACACACACACACACACACACACACACACACACACACACACACAGATTTTAAAGATTCCAACTCGACTTTTGGACTTTTGACATATAGAAATATTACAAAAACATATTTGTCTCCCGTTGGACGTTAGTGGTAATATTGTTAAGTAAATATTACCATAAAGTAAGACGTTCTTTCTAGATAAATAGTCCAAATTAAGATAAACACTTAACCTTTTATTACCCAGCTTTACTTTTCCATCTTGACATAAGATCATGAAACTAGCTACCTCACAAGACAGCCCACACACGCATGCTTATAACAAATATTTGATAATAATCACAACATCCTAAATGTGATCAATAGATCCGAATTTTAATGAAGAAGTGACTTTGGCCAATTATCACTGTCAGAAGGGTGAACTTCAGTTAGCTGTAGTTAAACCTTTAAGTTGCTGCATTTGCTCCTTTTTAGACCTTTTTTTAAATGATGTATTCTACTATTTCAACAATTAGACAGTTTATACATCCAAAAAACAAACAAACCTTGTAGAAGCTAGAGGGCAGAAAGCATCACTTATACAGAAGTAGCTCTCCTGTTAGTCATCCTGTTGCAGGATAAAGTAAAAAAAGATAATTCTGTCATTAAATACTTACACAGATGAACACAATTCTATATATACATACACACACAGTACACATGTGCACATACACATCCATGCATACACCCATTTCCAGGGTGAACATCAAATAATAAGTAAAATAAATTCCTACAAGTCCATGTTCAGATAACATTTCTCATCCTATTTGTATATAAACTGATAATTAAGATTATCATAATAGTAATTATAGCAGAGGTGTGGACTCGAGTCACATGACTGGGACTCGAGTCACATGACTGGGACTCGAGTCACTAATTGGATGACTTTGGACTCGACTTGACAAAATCACAAAACACTTGCGACTCGACTTGGACTTGAACACCAATGACTCGGGACTTGACTTGGACTTGAGCCTTCTGACTTGAGGTGACTTGATACTTTAATTCAGAGGTCTCCAACACGCCAATCGCGAGGTGCCGCTAGCAGAGCAGACTCCCGTCGGGGAGAGCAGAATCTCCAGCCGCTTCTACTCTTGCTGAGAATCCTTGCAGGCAGGGGCGGGTCTTTATTTAGCTGGGCCACCATGCGGCCAATCATATGCGAGGACACACTAGGATCATACCATTATGTGAAAGAAGGGTAGGGGGCAGACGCTCCAAAGACAGCAGGTGTAGTAGTACAGGCCAGCTGCACAGAGCGACGGGGAGCCGGATTTAAATGCAAGCGCGTCGGAAAAAGTCAAGAAATGAGCGAAAAAATGATATTGGAGAAAGCAAAGCTGAGTGCAGGATTTGTAAAATGGAAATAACATTCAGAGCAGATTTTTTTTGTTGGTAACCAATCAGGATTTATTGACAGAGGTGGGAGAAGTTCAGATCTTGTACTTGAGTAAAAGTACCAGAGTGTAGGAATACTCGGTTACAGTAACAAGTCCTGCATTCAAAATGTTACAAGTAAAAGCATTAGCATCAAAATATAGTGAAAGTACCACCTGCAGAGGGATCTAGATTCAGGTGTTCTTTTCCCCATAGAGACGCCTCGCTGCACATTATCCCTTACATAAAGATAGATGGTGGGTCCCTTATAACATGTTGTACACAGTGGAAATAAACATTCTGGTCACCTCAACATCAGGGATCTTATACATTAAACTCTTTCTGAATCAAACCGTCACGGTAGCCTTACCTTACTGATCCCCCTTAAAATAGAAAAAAACATGTTACTTTACCAGCAGAGAGAAAATGGATTGTTAAATTATTAATGTGACTATTGATTATTAAGTATTATTCTGTTGATCGATGTCATTACATTTGGTGAAAAGCACATAATGACTTGTTTAAGACTCGTTTTGTCAAAGTTTAGGACTTGACTTGAACTTGCCCATCCTGACTTGAGACTTGACTCAGACTTGCAAAACAATGACTTGGTCCCACCTCTGCATTATAGTTGTGAGACTGACCGTTGAGCGGCCCGACCAAGCAAGGAGGCAGAGGCAGAACGTCTAAAAATATAACCCGACGAGGGCATTTATTAAAACATTACACACAGCCTCAATCCTGCTGCTGCTGTTTCACGTGAGCCCAGCCTGCAGCCACCAGGATCTCTCACACACTACCACTCCAAATACACACACAGATTAACAAGGCACAGGTGAGGCACAGGTGAGGGGGAGCAATTAGACACAGGTGAGGGGGGAGGAGACTACACAGGGCACCAGGTGAACACAATTGGGTAATCAGTAGGAGGGAACACAGAGACGACCGGAAGCAACAGACAAGATGGGGGCGAACACTTATACCAAATAAATACTACATCAATAAATTATATAAACTTGTTCACGAGAGCTCTAGTAACGGCGTCTCGTCGTTACAATAGTATTTATTATTTTCATTATCATTAACTTTTAAAAACTAAACTTGAAGAGATATTTAAAAAATAAAAGATTTCTGATTCTTTTCTGATTCTCATTATTAAAATGTCTTCCTCTCTTCCTCCCTGCTTCAGTTGGACGGTTACATCGCCCGGACGTGGCCCTCTCAGAAGTCAGCGTTGGGCAGCGCTCTCGACCCATTGGCTGATAAGATTCTCGTCAGTTTTTTATACGTCAGTCTCACCTACGCTGATCTGATACCAGGTATTATACACTGTCTCCTTCTTCTTATTTAATAATCATGTTATAATTATATATTATGTTATAATTAATTTTCTTTGATTCTTTTTTTATATAAGTTTTCTTTATTTAAAATATTTATTTAAATATTTGTAATTATATTTAAATATTATCAAGATTCTCACTCCTTCATTTCAGTGTTTAATGGAAAGGTCAATGGCAGGGGAATTAAAATTAAAAATGAATTAAAATATTTAAGTGTTTTTTTGTTCCATGTGTTTCATGTGGCAGTTCTAGAAAGTTCTTTATGAGATCATGTGTTCTGTTTCAGCTCCACTCACAGCTCTAGTGATTGCCAGAGACATCGGTCTGATAGCTGCCGTCTTCTGGGTTCGATACAAGACTGTACCTCCGCCGGTGAGACACAAACAAACACACGATTTGACGAACAATATTTGTTGTAAAATCTGCTAAAAGTAAAAAAAAAATGAACTTTCTCCCTTTTTCTTTCCTCCAGGTGACCCTTAGCAAGTTTTTTAATCCCTGCTACACCACAGCACAGCTCAAGCCCACACTCTTCAGCAAGGTGACACACACACACACACACACACACACCACACACACACACACACACACACACACACACAGACACAGACACACCACACACCACACACCACACACACACACACACACACACAGACACACACACACACACACACACACACACACACACACACACTGAACTTTGAACATATCTCTGCTAAAGTCAACAGTTAGCTCATGTTGCTACCGTAA